AATACATGTATAACATTAGACGTTGCTTGACACCTGGTGCACAAACTCGTATGTTGGACAACTCAACTGTTTGCCAACCTGACTTTGAACAACTTGACAGTTGAGACAGCTCTACCGTTGAGTCAACTCGACCGTTTGCCAGGTCATCCATTAGGAAACTCGACTTTGATAGAGAGACAGCTCGACCAGTGAGATCTCTACACATAATACAGTCATTTTCCCAGTTCCAGATTGCAAAAAATATTCAGTCAGATTTCAGCTACAAAAAATCCTAAAATTCCAGTGAAATGTGGTCACCATCCACTTTCGTGTGCTAGGGATGTTACCAAATTAATTTCAAATTTTAAACTTTTAATTTGGACGTACAGGGTCAACAAAAGTGCCAACACTTTTCGTCGTTCTTGATCAGTTTCCGGAAAGTAACCACGTGAGCGGCAAATCCATTTTCAGCAAGCACCATTGTAAAAAGCTTGTTTTCTAGAGAAGATTGCTTCATGAGAAGAATTCCAATGAATTAAAAAAAGTGAATCTTGTGTAAATTTTGACTCAACTTTTTCAGCTGCACAGTGCGAGCCATCAATGATACCCCCTCATCCTAGCCATCAATGATACCCCCTCATGCTAGCCATCAATGATACCCCCTCATGCTAGCCATCAATGATACCCCCTCATGCTAGCCATCAATGATACCCCCTCATGTTGCATAGTTGACAAACTCATTACGTCATGTACATTTCTGCAACGTCCGTATTGTGAGATGAGTTCACAACATACATGCACATTGCGTGCATGCACTTAATGCGTGATCCAAAAACTATGAAACGATATGCGTTCAGTTTTCGGCCAGTTTTAATAAAATGCAACTTTGAAAGTCATTTCGATTAAACAGAGTTTATATGACTGTTGAGTATGAAAAAAAAGTACTTGGGATCAGGTAGTGAGTGACATATTGCCCTGTAACTATTCGTCAATTTTTTTTCAGCTATTTTGATTTGAAACTGTTCACAAATGTCAAAATGCAAATCAGAAATCTGGCCAAATTTCTTCTCTAGAAGTTTTCCAAGAACACGCTTTGTTCAACAAGAAGCTTACATTTCACCTTTTAACCAGAACCTGTCTAGAATGTAGAGTTACATGTAGTAGGTAGAACTGGAGGTAGGTTTTTATTTCAAGCAATCCAGAACTAGGTATATGTGGCTGGGTCAGCGCGGGTGTAAGATCGATTGCGCAACTTAGATTGATTTACCACGGCAACCATTTTTAAAATACCTAAAAAATTAGGCTTGTCTATCTACTACGTGAAATTCCATCCCGTTATTATTATTAAGACATAGTATTGCACACCTTGGCCTCAGCAGACGACTGGGCTGAGCGGACAGTGTCCCAACGGATGACTTGTCCCAACGGATGACTTGTTTCAACAGTCGACTTGTCTCTCCCTTTTATGCGACAAAATAGTCTAATGACACAATACAGGACATGGCGAACTTGCCAATAAATATGCGCCACGATACCAATGTCACGTTATGATACAATAAATAAGGCTTAATTTTTGAAAGTGCTGAATTTACAGTTTGACCCTTGCATCCCTCTTGACATCAGACTTCGTTTGTGGTGGATGAAGTCAGCAACATCATCAAGGAAGCAGTGGAAGGAACAATAGGCGGCAACGCCTACCAACACAACAAGATCAACCAATGGACGTCCAATGTAGTGGAACAGTGTCTGAACCAGCTGACCAAGTTGGGCAAACCCTTCAAATACATTGGTAAGAATTAGGCAAGGTTACTTTGTCACTCCCAAGCAGAAAAAAAAGAAATTCATCCATGTGGGCTGTATTCGCAGAGCTGCCTCCCAAGATAGTAAGGAGTCAAATTTGCTAGGAAAGAGTTCAAGCAAACAGATCATGTAATGAATAGTCCTTGAGACTGATATTTTTGTCAAGGTTTGCTGACAAAGTAAACTTGCCAGGCAATAAGTGCTCCCATTCAGCTCAACTGAAATTGAAGTGTGAATTTGATGCAGTTTCTATGTGCACTTGGCACTGCTCATCTATTCATCCTTATTATATTTTCCCCCTTATTTAGTGACTTGCGTCATCATGCAGAAGAACGGTGCCGGTCTGCACACGGCAAGCTCCTGCTACTGGGACAACATGACTGACGGGAGCTGCACCGTCAGATGGGAGAATAAAACCATGTATTGTATCGTCAGCGTCTTCGGTCTCAGCATCTGATCGCATTCCTCCTCAGAAACCTTGTAAATAGTAGTGCGGGTTTGGAGTTTAGGGTCAGGGGTCATGCATGGGGTCGGCGACTAAGTACTAAGTACTTCCCCTATCTATTATAATGCATGCTTGTAGTATGAATTTAATGTTTTAAATGGAGGGTTTTTTATGGTTGTTCGCACTCCGCTGTGGGATTTACTGCTATAGAAGTTACATGGTCAGGAGGTTCATGGGGTAATGAACTCATACCATCATGTCTCCAAATGTCATGGGAGTCATATTGTGTAAAGTACTAAGTATTTAAGATTCCCAAAACTACTGGCACAGAGTTTCAGTGTTGAGGGTTAAAAGAAGTATGAACTTAATGCTTGAAGGACTTCCAGTTAGCCCGAAATTCTCTCAGTGTTTGTGGCTTTGCTCACATTTATGCAAATCTGCATTGATAATAAACACTTTTTTGCTGAAACGATTTACATCTATCGTCCCAGAGTTAAACCAAAATATTCACAATCTTTGATCAGTTCCCTTTTCAACTTTTTAGTCATAAGTTTTTGTTATATTGCAATACTGCCCCCGTTGAAGTTTCCGTCCTCTGCAATAAGGTTTCTTGTAGAACTAAAGTTCCAACATGAAAGTTTCCATTTATTTTCAACACACTCATTTTTCTGGCTGTTAAAACTTTGTCATTTTGTCATTCCATGGTGTTAGCCATGTGCGAAATAGGTTTTGTACATTTTTGTTAATTTGCACTGGGTGATAAATTCTGTACAGTATTTGAATTCTGAACTGTGTTATGAAAAAAAAGTCATGTATTTATGTTCATGAGTTAAATAATTTCGTAATGCGAAAAGAGATGCATCGGCGAAATCATAGAGGCAGAAATAGCTTTTAAATGTACATTTCTGATGGTGGTTTTATCTTACAGCAGAATAGAAATCCTACCTATTGTGGATGGTTCCAGTAAGCACATAAAGTGATTCACAGGCATGTTCATTTGTCATGTTCACATTGACTTTGAAACATGGTCACTAACAACCTCTATAACCTGGCAAGTTTCCCTCTAGCAAAGTGTAGTTTATTGCACTAAGGAATTGTATCTGACCTTGTTTTCTGTAGATCTTTTAAATTTGAGTTGATTTTGTTTGCTCATTTTATTTATATTCATTTGAATAAGAAAAATTAAACCAAAAGTGAAAATCTGTACTTCGGGATGTCTTAAGATTACTTAGAGTGTATACATCACTGTTTTTGTCAAAATAAAATGTTTGTGTAAATCTGCATGTTAGCAAACTTTTTCCCACAAGTTTTTGCTTTTTATGCTTTTTTTCTACCAGGTTTACGCATGCCGATTGTATATTTTATGCAGGAACAAACGCATGATTATTGTGCATCGCGAGCTACGTCGCGTCATGCCCGTTCCATTGTAGAGTTGAAGGGGCAGGAAATCAGTCTACCGTCCACGTTCAGGGAAGGGCGCCATCAAGTGCTTGCATCATCACCATCACGCCGAAAACATGTCGAACGGAGAATTTTACTTGCGATATTACGTCGGCCATAAAGGCAAATTCGGCCACGAATTCCTCGAATTTGAATTCCGACCAGATGGTGAGTAACCATAGCTGTCATTAAGATAATTTGAAACGTTAAAAGAAAGGAATTTAGTGCCCCAAAATGATTACATTACATGTTACGTTTTTGCATCACGTTACGTTGAAACTGGCGGCCGTTGGTGGCGTAGGCCAATGCCTACTCCTTTTCTTTTTTTAGGCCTTAGGCCGTTTTCCAATACTTAACTTCGTCTCTGTCTCAGGCTTCGTGTAGGAAGCCAATCCTCGAATGTGGGCCTGAAGCGTTTAACTTAAATTGAAGTACTGTAATCAGTGGTAATGTTTGGCTCTTTTGCACCTTTGTTATTCGATGTTTTGTGGCACATTAAGTATCAGACTTACTATTGTGCTTATAACCAGACCGCAAAGTCAGGAAGTAAAAAAAACAGTTGAAGCCTGAGATCAAGCCCAAGTTGAGTATTGGAAAACGGTGAACAGCTAGAGATTTTTTTTTTTCGTGTGAAAAAAGTCCATTTTGCAAATTGATTTGTGACCCCCAACTATTGGAAAGTCTCTTTCCGCCCAAGTATTACACTTCTATGCTTCTTTTGTGGATTAAAGTTGTATTTTCGGGAAGTTGACGCTGTGTTGACATTACTATCGTGTTGATAGTAATAAGTAAGACCTGTGATAAATCCCCATACTTCACAAATATTTAAAAAATACAACAGGTGTTCAGGCTGCACAGTAAAACGATGTTCGTCATGTCCTCTTTCATTTTCCTTTCAAGTTTTAGTGGGTTGACCATTAATTTTTGAGAAATTCTCACCCAAAGCAGACTGCCCCTAAAAATAGAAAAACGAAAAAAATTTCACAGAAGGCAATCTTCGAGAACAACCAAAATGACATAATCATAGGACGTTTCATGGATAGCGAAATATTAGCCATTTTGAAAATGTATCCCTCTGCAAAACAGCTAAAATAGTGCCACTTTCGGACCCGATTGCATCCAAATTGCTGAGAATTGGGAGCCCTGAATCAGGGCCAGAGGTTTAGTGCCATATTTTTTCAATTCCCCAGTTCCTTGGCTCACAGGACCCTCTAAATTATAATATAGAATATTTTTAGTGTATAACTTTTGTTAATGAGCTCAGTGGACATACTTGTGGCCTATTTACAAGGGTGCACCCCTATCTGGGCACAAGCCGAGTACGGTCATGAATAAAACAATGTATGACGTTGCATGAGTGAATGCGGCATTCGTCATGGTTGCTTTTTCTTGTATGACATGGTACGAAGGCTTCTGTTACTGACTTGAGCCCGTCTGTACTCCATGTTTGCCCAAAATTTCATTTTTTTCCTTAACCCTCCTATGCTGAAGTCACTCTTTGGGTCACTTGGTAAACACCTCAAAGAAGCAATATCAGATTGCACTGTTGTGCTGCCCAACAACTGTGCTTCACTGTTTCATGTGCATCATTGTGCAGTAAACCAAATGCAGTGAAGAGGACTGCACAAAAGACCCTGGGTCATTTTGTGCTGGCAACCAACTGTGCACACACTGAACCTGTGCATGTTTGTGTTCCATATAGAAAACACATGCAAGAGAGTGACTGTGGGCACTTGTGCATATTTGTGTTGTAAAACCAAAGGAGGGTTAATGTACCCAACTTGTGCCTGTCTCTACTCAATTTAAAAAAAACCCAAGTATGAAATTGTGAGCGCATGAGGAGTACAGACAGGTGCAGGTCAGTCATGTCAGGGACATACATGTACCAGCTCATGCAACGTCATACGTTATTTTATTCATGGCCATACCCAGCTTGTGCCCAGATAGCATCTCCCTGTGAAACTTGGAGTCATGCTGTTTAGCATCAACAAGCGTCAGCGAGTGTCAACAAAGCATGCATAAGTTATTCAAGCACTTTTAGGCATTTTTTTAAAATTGACAATATTAAGGAGGCGCCTACCTATCCCTAGGCCTGAGTCATATCCACTCTAGGGAGGCTCATACATGTAGATTTGCATCTATTCTTTCTGTTTTCTTTTTGACATGATCTTGGAGAGGATGTAGACTCTGTGATGTCATCCCGACCACAAAAATTGATATTCTTGTGGTTGGAATGACATCACTGAGTCTTGATTCTTCTATCTGATTGGCCAGTTGGTGGCTATTCCATATTTCACACTCAAAACTCAAAGGGGCAAAAAAGCTATGGGGAAAATCTGCAGTATCATCTGTTGACTAAACTCGTAACCTTTACATCAAATATACCTGAAATTTCACATTTATGCGCTCTGAATATCTCCCACACTGAACTGGAAAGGTTTCAGTTCAGTTATTTTTATCATAATACAACAAAAAATGAGGAAATGTGCAAATCCCTGTTCATGCTTTTGCATAGCGACCACCATCTCTGGAATAGACTGGTTCCTTTGTGCCATTCTTTTCCATTGAGAACAGTGTATTGTTGTAAGGTGTCTCTTATGTAACTAAGGAAAAGCTTGCCCCAAATCACGAGGTATGGCAACAGTGGCTTTAGTATGGAGAATTCAAATTGTTTGGTTTACATGAATTTAAAGAACTCAGTTTACCAGATTTTATTCAAATTTAACTCAAAAAAGGCCTATTGTATTTGCTGGGCCTGGAATCTGGTAAATTTGTATGTAACCATTGTGATCGATTTTCAATATTCTTTACAGGCAAGTTGAGGTATGCCAACAATTCAAACTACAAGAACGATGTCATGATCAGAAAAGAGGTATGGATAGGATTGTTAGCGGGGGCCTGTTTCATATTTGCGCAGCCATATTAATGAGAGATCAGTGGTAGATTATGGAAACCGTTCTTAAAGCTGTCTTGAAATCAACGGTGCTGCTTAGCACATGATTTCATGCTTACAGAGGTTCCACATATTTCATGGAGACCGTGAGTAGTAAGCAAAGCCAAGGGCATGCTAACCTGGGAGGAAACTTTTCCTCGAACTTTAATGTCATAACAAAAGAAATCCCTATGCGCAATCGTAAGCACAACCACGCCAAGCACTGTCATGAAATGGTGCTTAAGGTTAGCATATTTTTCTGCTACTGTAAGCACAACTTTCCTGCTAACTGTTAAGCAGCTCCGTGAAATTGAACCGTGGCCTAAGTGTTTGGCCAATCTTGAAAGGATAGATCATGTCTGGGACTGGTGTTTGGTTTCATTAACCCCAGGCCCATCCCATTTAGTGAATGTTTTATACCAGTCAGCCTCTCTGTCCCAATCTGTGCTATCCATCCATTGGAACCTTCTTCTCGAGGGAGTCATTTGTGATCTTGTCAATCGAATCTTCTTTCTTTTGTTAATGAAAACAAACACCAGTCCCAGACATGGTCTACTCAGTCAAGACTGGTCTAACACTTAGACCAGGGCCCAATGTCACAGAGCTGCTTAACAGTTAGCAGGAAAAGACATTCTTCCTGAGGAAACCATTTGTGATCTTGTCAATTGAATCTTCTTTTATGAACTGTTAACTGTTTAACGGGATGTTATCAGACCATTTTAGAACTCATGTGGGTTCCAAGCCTCCCTTATAATTTGTTTTCCAAATGTGGCGTTAAAACACTTTAAAAAGTATGTTTTATGACAAATATGAAATGATTCATCGGAGCAGACAGGTAATAATTTGATAGGAAATTTCATTTTATTCTTTCATTCATGCTTTCAAGTCCGAAAAATGAAGACGCAACCTCGATGTCAATATCAATATGGCCGACTTGAGACTAAGGTCCATTGCTTGGTAGCTGACATCCTCCACCTAAGGGAGAGATTTGATCACTTTGGTGACTTGGTCCTCTTACTAGATCTTCCATCGACCTGGTTCTGGATTTAGATTGATGAATGTCTTGATTTCTTGCTTTTTGTCGTGCATCCCAGGCCTATGTCCACAAGGCTGTCATTGAAGAGCTGAAGCGAATCGTTCAAGACAGTGAGCTAATGCAGGAAGACGACGAGCTATGGCCACAGCCGGACCGTGTCGGACGCCAGGAGCTGGAGATTGTCATGGGCAACGAGCATATCTCCTTCACCACCAGCAAGATTGGCTCGCTCATTGATGTCGGCAACAGCAGGTGTGTGTCAAAACAGGGTTGACCTGGGATGTGTTTTCTTTACAACCCTGATTAGAAATGTGTTTCTTCTTTGGTCATTGGTTGGGCATTTTTAAAACTTTGCTTATCCTTATGCTGTGTTATTGTGCCCACAAAACAAGAACCAAAGATGGGACTCGTTTATTGCTGGTTCAGTAATGCAGCAGAGTACTTTTGGGATGTTTGAGTCCCTTATCAACCAAATTTCATTTGCAACCAGAACTAAAAATGGAAAGTTTACAAACAATTTTACATAAATTCCTCAAATTGATGTTGTTTCACTCAAGATTTTCTGAAAACTGAAATTCAAATTTGTAAAAACTGAGTCAGTCTTGTAAAGGATAGATCCATAATTTAACAGTATTGAAAACCTATTTTCACCACCTACCCACAAGAATCAAGCTGACAGGAAAACCTCTTTAAGTGCCAATAATTTTGATTTCCCCCCCCCCCCCGATCCCTTTCCATTTCTTTTCTTTCAGGGATCCTGAGGGTCTGCGCATCTTCTATTACCTCGTCCAGGATCTCAAGTGTCTCGTCTTTTCACTGATTGGTCTACACTTTAAGATCAAACCCATCTAGTTGCCCTCTTGACACTTTGTATCTAGTCCTATTTTGTGTTAGTTGATCCCCCCCCCAGTTGTCCTGTACATCTTTTTGCTTCTTGTATCTAGTTCATACAGAGGTATCTTAGAAGACAAATTTCACCAATTTCCCTGTTCCATTAGGATTGATGGTGCATTATTTTTCTTGTTCATAGCACCCTCCATTGTCAAGTGTGTCAGAAAGTGAGGAACTGCACTTTGGAAATTAACTTCCTTGTGAAATACACTCGATACTCTTTTGTTTGTCACTTTTGCCATTACCCCATAAAAGTACAATTTTGGAAGTCAAATGCCGCAAAACAGAAGTACAGTCAAACCTCGTTAATAAGAGGCCCTTCAGACTTGGCAAATTACCTTGTTGTATTAGGAACCTTGTATTACCAGGAATGAAAACAATGATAAACAAAGGATTGGGACCTATGATTATCCTTGTTATAAGCAGACTCTTGTATTAACAGTGCTCTTATTAACGAGGTTCAACTGTAAACATCTTCATGATGTATTTTCACGTCTGTCAACCTATTTTGAAATGTTAAAATTCATTGGAGTTGGTGATTGATCACAACCTTCTGTTTGTATGTGTGGTTTTCAATGTAGATGTATTTTCACGTCAATAAATATCAAGCCAAGTTTCTTTTACTTCTTTGTAGATACCTGTTGTTATTTTGGCGGGTTAATTTCGATTCACGTCCATTTCCCTCTAAAGGATAAAGCTTTAAGCGACGCTAAAAGCTCAGCTGACATTTTACTAAGCTGAATCACAGGAATGCTAAAAATGTGTTCATAGAATTTCTTTCAAATTTTCCCAAAATAGTTGTGGATGACTGAGAATGCATTGTAAGGATTATGGAATG